AACGCAAAAGAATAAAGATTGTAGGAAAAGCATTAATACTGATAGTTAGGGTCCAATAATGTAGCTCTTGAATCTCTGTTAGGCTGAGTTAATTGAATCTTTAGATTTCAGTGTTTCCCTTTGTAAAAGCAAAGATATTTTCCTAGTCTTTTTTTGGTATAAAATGAATAGATTGATTCACTTAATTCTAATAAATTAATATAATGCTCCCTACAGTGATTTAAAAAATGGAGAGGGTTGGCGGGATGGAAGGACAAATGTGTTTATATGATCATAAGACTTATAAACACTGGAATTCATCAAGTATAATTTTTTTCTTTCTTTTTTATGAAGACTACTGGATAAAGCCTGGGGACCATGTGATGATGGAAGTGTCTTGTCAGGATTGTTACTTAAGAATCCAGAGTATCAATGTCTTCAGTTCGGAACATGAAATGGATGTTGGGAAAAGTTGTACCAAGAATAAAGACTTGCTTTCTTTAGGAAATGAGGCTGACCTCTGTAGCGCCCTGGCTAACCTCCAGACCAGTAAACCAGATGTTGTGGAGCAGACATGTGTACTGGAATCCACAGAAATTGCTTTGCTTAATAACATTCCATATCATGAAGCCTTTAAAATGGCAATGAGGAAAGTATTGTCTGCACTGACTCCAGAGAAGCCGTGCCAAGCCATGGATACCCACTGCCAGGACAGTGAGATCAGCTGTGCAAGTGGACAGGATAATTCTGAACAGAGTGCCTCTGAGCCTTTCTATGTGTTAGATGTGTCTGAAGGTTTCTCTGTTCTGCCTATAATCGCTGGCACACTTGGGCAGGTTAAACCTTACAGTTCTGTGGAGAAAGACCAGCATCGTATCACTCTGGACCTCATATCTGAAGCCAATCACTTTCCTAAAGAAACACTTGAGTTTTGGTTGAGACATGTGGAAGATGAGTCTGCTGTGTTGCAAAGGCCAAAATCAGACAGGTTGTGGAGTATAATTATATTGGATGTCATTGAGCCATCTGGGCTCATTCAGCAGGAAATAATGGAAAAAGCTGCTATATCCAGGTAAAACAATATGTAACTGTTGGGTTTTTTTTTAGCTGAAACTTTATGTAAATTCTTTTAGTTCTTTAATGACATAACTGTACAGATGAGTCATGATCTTCTATGTTCCTCAAACATTGCTTTTCAGGACCTGTGACTTCATACCCTTCTCTTTGTGTGAATGTAATTACTGGTATTTTCCGTTAAAGGACCCCCTGCATCGTAGATGTGAAGAGAGACTGCTTTGGGATTGGACTGCCCATATATATAATATGGGAAATAAGTAGCCTACCAGACTTGACCTAAAATGCTAAAAAGTTAATAGGAAAGGAATAACAAAGATAAGTAAAGCATTGGAGTCCATTTTTAGGCTAATGTGTACATAGGACTTACTAAAATTTAAATGATCATGTGCTTCATATTTAGTGGAAGAAATTATCCTAGTTTAGGAGCATGGCTTGTTCCCATCAGTCTGGTGCCACTGCATTTAGGAATCTCTAACTTTCCTTGCTGATTCTGTGCTAGTCAAATGACCTGGTTAAGATTTGGCTTCCTATTAGCTAGTCTTTAGGGAGAACTGTTACTAGAGCAGCCTGTTTACCTATTGTAAACTTTTCCATCAGCGTTTTATTTGGAAAGTTTCAAAATTTCAAATTTAAAAATTGCAAGGTATTAACAGTGAATGCTAGAAAACTCTTGTGTGCTAGACCATTTGATAGTGGTTGGCTTCATAACTTTGACCCTTATTTTAACAATTAGCATGTGCCTCCTTAGAGCAAAGGCTTTCCTCTACATAATACAAGAAGAGGATCACACTCAAGAAACTTAGCATTGATAAAATACTATTGTTTAATATATAGTCTGTATTAAAATTTCCCCTGCTGTCTCAGTAATATATTCCTTATTGCTTTTTTCTCACCAATCTGGAAGTTCAGGTTGAAACCAGCTTGGACCATTTAGTAAAATTGAGGACTATTTAGTAAAATTTAGTAAATATGTCAAAATGAAAATAATTATTTGGTTTAAAGTACTTTAAAGTGTCCTCCACCTCTGCTTCATATGATGGCATTAGGTGATCTATCTATCCCTCTCACATCTCCCACACAGTTCAGGTGTGAGGAAACAGATTATATGGATGGGTGTGGGTGCTGCTTTGGTTTAACAGCCCTAAATTGCATATAGGAACTAATATCTCCCATGGGGTATTTTCCCATTTCCAGCAAAAGGAACACTTCGTTACAAGTTAAACCACACTTAGGGAAGCCCAAAGGTAGTGCAGCTTCCCATTGGGCATTTACAGTTTGTTCTTAGTTCTCTCAGTCCACTAATTCATCATGATTTAGTTGTTGGTATTGGTAAAATGTAGGGCATCACGACACTTTTTAAAACACTTTTCCCTCTCTAGGTGTTTGCTACAATCTGGAGGCAAGATCTTTCCTCAATATGTGCTGATGTTTGGGTTGCTGGTGGAATCACAGACACTGGTAGAGGAGAATGCTGTCCAAGGAACAGCGCGAACTCTGGGATTAAATATAGCTCCTTTTATTAACCAGTTTCAGGTAAGTGCCTGGAAGAGTTAATTCAATCAGGTGGCTGTTATCTGCAGTTTACCATATCCCTGTAGTTTTGTAGTCATTGTGTTTAGCTGGATTAAGATGGTAATCAGTTTCCTAGAGCAAAGGAACTTATTCTGGATAAAAATCAACCTAGGGAAGGACAGGTGCCTTCAGGGATGTCCAGGGAGAGGTTGATGTATCTGTGTCCTCGCTTTCACCATGAACAGTTGCTAATCTCTAATATTTGATTCAGACAGGAAAGCACTTTGTAAACGTTTCCTTTTTATTTCAAATGAGAATGCTAAAGTGATGGGACAACTTTATAGCAGTTGATTCTCAACCTTGCCTCTACAGTCATGTGCCCCATAATGATGTTTCAGTCAACAAAGGACCACATACATATCCAGTGGTGGCCCCATAAGATTGTCAGGGAGCTCAAAAGTTCCTGTTGCCTAGTGACATCATAGCCATGGTAATGTCATAGAGCAACACATTACTCATGTATTTGTGGTGATGCTGGTGTAAACAGACCTACTGCTCTGCCAGTCACATGAAAGCATAGCACATACAGTTACAGTAGTGGGCTGTACCATCTAGGTTTGTGTAAGTGCACTCTGTGATGTTCACGCAACAAAATCGCCTAATGATGTGTTTCTCTGAACGTGTCCCCCAGGCTAGGCAGCACATGACTGTCCTTCCAGAACTACCAATAACTAGATCCCAAATGCAGATCAATCTGATGTGTGGCCTGAACACCCAGACTTTAAAACCTCCCTAGGTTATTTTAATTTGCAGCCAGAGTTGAGAATCACTGCTTTATAGAAATAAACTTTATTTTTCAAACAAAATCTACTAATAAGTTGTTTGGTTGAATTTGGCGTATTTTCTTAAATTCAGTAATTAATGTTATACTATTTGCTTGTTATTAGTTCATCTTTCACATGTAAGCACATCATTGATTTAAAAACTTGAGCTGTTTGGCTTAAAAATTTAATCTGCTTTCATAGAAGCAAAGAATCTATGGATAACTGAAACCACGGTTTAAATAAATTATTTAACCTGCCTAAACTTTTGTTTATTCTTCCTGTAAAACTGGAATCATGAAATTTCTTACACCTTAAGATTGATGTAGGAATTGAATTAAATGAAGTAACAGATGTAAAAAGCATTGTATTATACTGAGCCAAGAACACAGCAATCAGTTGGTGAGCCTTGGCTACAAAAAGATTGAGTAAAAGTGAAATTTGTACTTTTTTTAGGTACCTATACATGCATTTTTGGACCTGTCCTCATTGCCCTGTACACCTTTAAGTAAGCCAGTGGAACTCTTAAGACTGGATTTAATGACTCCATATTTGAACACTTCTAACAGGGAAGTAAAGGTAATGGAAAATAATCACTCTTATCATATGCAGAATTATCTTAAACTAGGTAATACTTTATGTACATAAAATTGTTTTAGCCACTTTCTTTGAAGATGTGTTATTTCTTTTCTGAACAATATCCAAAAATGGGCTTGGGTAAATATTAGTGAATTAAATAGGTTGCTATTAATCTGAATTGGTTAATTAAATATATTTTTAAAATTTGGATCTAAATTTGACTAAAAAGGCAAAGACTTACTTATTCAAGTCTATTTGTTCTGATGAAATTTTCACAGTTTGTTCATTTTCCTAGGTACGTATTTGTAAATCTGGACAAGTGACTGCCATTCCATTTTGGTATCATATGCACCTTGATGATGAGATCAGGTTGGATACTTCCAGTGAAGTCTCCCACTGGAAACAAGCTGCAGTTGTTTTAGATAGTCCCATCCAGGTGGAAATGGGAGAGGAGCTCGTGCTTGATGTCCAGCACCACAAAAGCAATGTCAGCATCACAGTGAAGCACTGAAGAGCAGTTTTTTGATGAAAACTGTTTACGTAGAGCAAGTACAGAATTTTTCTGGTCTGAATAGTGGGATTGTAATCATAAAGTGGGGGATGGTAAAGACTTAGTTCCTTGTATTGGTGAAATATTTTTTAAAATTGACCTTAATAAAGTGTATTTAAAAGATACTACATTATTGTGTAGCATTATTACAAAAATGTTTGCTGCAGGCTTCCTTCCTGAAAAAGACTGTCATGAATTTTCACGTTAGGAAACTTTGTCTTTATTGCTCAGTTTTATTCACTGTAGATTAAATTTTACTAAAATACTTTTGCCTACATGCTAAAGCTATAAAGGATTTTGAGTCATCTTCATTGTCATGTGTAAGTAAAGCAAAACTTAATATTCAGGTTATCTTGGCTTTTTTTCTTAAATCCAAACTTGTAACTGGAAACATCAAAAAGTTGGCTTCCACTGAAGACTGAAGGTTATGGTGACCTATAAATTACAAGCTTGCTTCTTTTAAATACTAGGTGTACTTCTGAAACTCCTCAGGTTTTGTTTTTGGAATACAAACTTACATAAGAATTTAAGCTATAAGCTAAATGTAACTTAGAGTAAAAGAGCTAGGAAAGAAAATCTTAAGAACCCAGCACTTTCCCTGGGGGTCTGCTTTGGCAAAGAAAAATGTAAATGTTGATAAATTCAAGAAAGTGAAGAAGTTGATAAATTCAAGAAAGAATTAAACCTAAACCAGTGTTTTTCAAAGTTTCAAAGTTTTGATTTGGATGCACAGTAAGAAATATATAATAATTGGTCCAATTTCTAAAGACTTGAAATAGATTACTAAGATTATCATGCCTTATATGTACTACGTGCTCTTTGTAAGTAAGATGCAAAGAAAATAAGATGTACCTTCTTTCCACGTTGCTTGTTCTCGTTACCTCTAAGATAATACCAACCAGCTTTACTTTCAAAAGAAATGTTTAGTTTATAATAGTGAACACAAAAAAGACTTTGTACCTAATTACTGTGAACCAGTATATATAGGGAATGTGTGTAAAAATATACAGCAAAATCTCAATATAATGTACTGATTTGGGCGAGGGGGTGTCTGTGAAAGCCGAAAGTCCATTAAATAATAAAGTAGGTTTTCCGAATGTGTATGTTAAAAAATTGACAAATTCGTTTACCTGTTTTTATGTAGGCACCTTTGTGTAATTAAAATTAAGTATGTGTGAAAAGTTTAATTGCACAGAGAAGTTTTCTTTGTGCATTACAGTAATTTTAAATTTATACAGACTAGGTCTAGTGAATGGGTGCATTCACCGAGACTCAACAAATGCACACAGCTGGGGCATGGCTTGGTGCATGTGGGAACATCTGCCAGCATGGTTAAAACTGCTACAGAAAGTCAGGCCAGGCAACAGGACCTATTACCATGCACAGTGTGATGTGATCACATGATAATCACTTGCCAGACATTGTTTATGAGCGGTGACTCTTTGATTTAAATGTGTAGATAATAGTTGTAGATATGTAATATTCATTTATGTCACTATAATTAATAGTATTTTTTTCCCTAATATATGGCCTATAAGCTAAAATTGGTTAAAAATAACAGTGAATTAATAACCAGAAATACCTGCTAATTTAATTATAAGCAAATCTTGGTTAAAAGCATTTTAAAATTAACAGGGTGTTAATTTTACATATGACATACAGACTAGAAATTTTGTCCATTAAATTGAGGTCCACAAAATTGAGGCTTTACTAAGGGTTTTGAGAAATAGTATTTACCATTGCTATTTGCAACATACTACTATGGCACTTTCTGTATTTTATTTTTGGTATAAAATGTTAAATATGACCGACCCAGTGGGTTGTGAGAAACTCCATCCCAAGTAATGTTTCATAGTTTATAGGTTTACATTTGCTGACACCTTTAATAGCACAGGAAAAGTAGACTCCTTTTCTATCACAAGTTTCTTATTCTTCCAGTATTTATCCAGTTTTTGCTTTTCATCTCAAAGTCATGGATAACTTCTTAATCTATTAGAATTATTGCAAATGACTTTAAATAGTAGTTGTTTTAAGATTAATAAGATTAGGTCCAAGATATTTATCCTAATAGGAATATAAGGGCAAGGTATCTTTCATTATTGGTATATAACTTTTAACCCTTAATTTTTCTGGACTTATTTTATACTATGCCTCTCTAATCAAGATGTTTTAACTTCCTGTTAAAACATCAATGGTTTATGTTTAAAGAATGAGACACACAAAGTTGCGGAAAATAAATGATAAATTCTTATTTATTGAAAGACATCCCGTTGAGAAATATATGGCACATGATTATGATTACGTTCCACTAATTCATACTTCTGAATTATACTTTCTGCTAATTCCAGAGCATTATATTCATGCAGCAGTGGTAGGAAGCATTGATTATTTTTTTTAATGCCCATCCTCTTGATAAAGCATGTAACACCAGAGCTTTTAGTACACTCATTTTCTACCATTTGAGTATGTGATACTCTAATGTTAAGAAATCCAGTCTAAGTCTAGGATATTTAGACATTATTTGTGATATACAAAATTTAGTTATATAAATCCAGTAGTACCTGGCTTTCGCCTGTCTTTGTGTTGAAATTTTCCATCATTTATGGCTTGTCCCAAGCACAAAATCCTGAGCGATGCGATACCAGGTATGGAAGTAACATGGTAGTAATAGTGCAGTTTGCTTTCCACACACTGTTCAGGAGACCACAGGTTTATCTGAAGGTTCTCTTTTTTCTTCTGTAGTATCATTAGGTATTTCATCAGGTATATCAGCTATAGTAGGTGTAGTCTGGGGAGTCAAAGTACGTCCAAACCCTTGATAGTGACCCATGGGTGAAGGTGGCACAGAAGAGGCAACAGAAATTGCATCTTGTGATGATGATGATAACAAGCTTGTATGTTCATTTTGATCTTGATCCTCGGGAAAAATTTTTTTCCTAGGATGTCCCATGACTGTCCTTCCTTTAAAGTAATGTAAATGTTTCCGAGTTAACCATAAATTATGTATTGATATTTTACCAATAAACTCAACTGCTAAAAATAAGTTGCCGCCCCCCCCTCCCCCCCCCCGAAAAAGCCTTATTGTGGTACCGCTTTAAAAAAAGTCTTTTCATTTCTTAAGTAGCTACAAAACTGCCCTTAATAAAATTACCTATTTGGATAAATTAGATGACTGGTACTTACCAACATGCCTTACTTGTTCAGAAATATCATCCCTAATGTCTGAAACATCCCACATAGCAAGAAAGGAATCAAAGCATGAGCCCTCTTCTGCTTCCTGGACATACGGTTTATATGAGAAAGTGTAGTGATGAGCAATAGCAGCGAGGAACATCTCAATACAGATAATGAAGTCCTACAACAAAAATATCAGCCATCTTTGAGTTTAAATGTAGTTTTGTAGATAAAGGAAAAACACTATCTTCCTTTTCAAAAGTATTTAAGTATCAATAGCTGGGTTTCTGCTCATTTTACCATTTTCCAAAATAATTTTTGACCTCTTCAAAAAAAACCAAACAAAAACACCCCCCAAAATCCCCAACAAAATGCCAAAAACTTAAATCTATTTTGCACTAAATCAAATATTTATTAGCAAAGTACATGGAATGCTCAGTCCACTGCTAAAGGACTAAGAGAAGCAGTGCAGAAAGATAAATTGACTAGGAATAACAATATAGGTTGTATTCCTGGCTCTACTACTAATAATTAATGGTTAATTTCTTTAGGGTTTCCCCATTTCACCTGTAAAGTGAGGATAACAGTAGCCCCATAGTCTGCCTGTTGTCAGATTTAAGAGATACTATGCTTAATATAAAAATGCTTAAAAAACAGTAAAGTTCTGTTGAATTCAGAGATAGCACTACTTACCTGGAGGCCTGTAGCTACAGCTTCTACAGTTCGCCATTCCCATGTGTGCTTTTCAGAAATAACGCCAACTTTTACCAACAAAGCAATAACTACTGCTTGCCTATATGTTAGGAAAAGGTAAACGCCAAATCTATATCAAGCATAAAACGAGCAGTTGTTTTTAAAATATGCCATTTTAAAAAGTTTAACCCCAGCACAACCTGTGGACCATGCCCTGCCTTCGCAGCATATTCTCAAAGACACTGTGTGTCTATATTAAAAGTATTTACTTGCTTTACAAATTTACTCTTCTAGTACAGTTTCCTCACATGAATTTGGATTATGTATTCTTAAAACTTCGGTACTTGGTTTATATGTCTTTTTGTTTTGAAAGTATGCAGAAGTAACAAAGTTCTTCCTATACACAGATAATGGCTAATAACGTTATACAATAGGCATTTAAAGTGAAATAAAGGGTAGATACTTAAATGTTATTTACATGTGTTAGTTGATTATTCAGATTATTTTAAAAAACATTTTGAAACCAGTCTTGTTTGAAGTACTGGAATTAGAGACAAACTCAGAAGGGGTCTGACTCTAAGACGGAATCATAGTGAGCATTTCAAGCAAATCTAGGGATGTGACTGAGTTACATTTAATCAGGTAATAATGAGACAGTCAGAGCAGCTTTCATAGTTCTCTACAGACAAGAATATTCACTTCAGTATTGCTTGTAATGGTGAAAACATTAGAAACAACCTAAATGTCAATAGGAAACTGCTTAAAAAGTTACATCCACACAACAGAATACTAAGCAAAGCCAAAAAAGCCTAAACAAAATTATACCTCACCTTACTGACAATTTTATCCACAATATACTGAACATATTAAGCTCTGTAGGTTTTTATAGTATGAAACTATTTCTGTGGAATTTTATAACATGATAATCATTCTGGGTAGTGGGATTGAGGGTTTTTTCTTTTTCCACTTTTTATATTTGTATGTTGTTAAATTTGGTGTACAGTGGTACCTCTGTGGGTTTCTGAATGTAATCCGTTCCGGAAGCCCGTTCGAGTTCTGAAACGTTCGAAAACCGAGGGATCCACAGCCCACAGCGAGGCCTCAGGATCCTGCCCTCAGCGGAAGCCGTAAGGCCTGTTCCACTTCAGAGGCGTGTTCAAAAACCGAAGCCATTTCCTTCCAGGTTTACGGCGTCATAAACCGAAATGTTCGTAAACGGAGACGTTTGAAAACCGAGGTACCACTGTATTTGTTTCTAGGCCCCTTCATCATCCACCCTGTTCCTAAACTGGGACCATGTACAATTCTGCCTTTTGTTTAAAAAAATATTTTTACTGATGAATATTTCCTCACATTATTAAATATTCTACATTATGTTTACCTTCCAAACTGCAAAGTATGCTCTTATATGAAAACACCATGATTTATTTTAATGATTCCTTAGTTTAACAACTCCTCTAGTGCCGAGACATTTAGGTTGTCTCAAATTATTTTTTTCTTATAAATCTGACAGTGCCATCTGATTACTTTTTCCTATGAAAAACCAAGAAGAGCTAAAAGGATGAACTTTTAAAAAAGTAATTAGAGACACTTTAATTCATCTGTATTAAAACTATTTTTTAAATTCTTCCCTTGTCAACAGTTTTATTGTCCTTTAGAAAAGGGGAACATTTAAGATAAAATAACACTTACCAGAAAGAAACAAAAACCACCAGCTTTACACAAAGGAATTTGCCAACAGGCTGGATTGGACTCAGTTCTTCCTTCAGTACTTGATAAAATAGCAGGAGACAGTACATGGCAAACTAGAAACAATCAAGATTAAAAATTAAACTTCATTTTTAATAACTAAATATGGTAGTAGAAATATTAAAGCTATAAAGCAGAGACCTGGTACAGAGTACTGTTTCAGCCAAATTTTTTTAGGCTTTATTATGGTATTTTTAGATTAACAACAAGCTTTTATAGTTCACTATGGATGAATATATCTGATATAAAATTTCTCAGAAGAGATCTAACATCTTCCCTGAAAATGGTTTCAAGTGTTCACTTACTGGGTCTCAGAAACAATGAACACAGGAAGAAAAGGCTCTCAGTCAGACAAAATAAAAACATTATACGCTTAGTAATGGCTTTTGTACACAAATTACCATTAATTTTATAAGGCCTGAACCATTTGTTATAAATCAACACATTAAATAAGTACTTTTCAATAAAACTGTGACCATGACATCTGAAAGTAGGAATCAAGGAAACAATTTTTCTTGAGGGCAGTATTTTAATCCAGGTGAAGTTACTTTTATAAAATAAATGCTCAAGACGTAACTGTTTAAAAAAAAATTAGTTGTAATTACCTAGTGTAGTATTTGCATAGCAGTAAACATTTTACTTTTTCCCACTGAAATCATAAAATGTTCATTTAAGATATTTAAAATATCTAAGCAGTAAAGTATATAGTCCCATCATCCAACCATTCCTATTTATACATAAAGTCGTGTTTAACAGGTATCAACTAAAAACAAAATTTTGTTGCCTGATTCCCCCCCCTTAACCTTATTTTCCATAGGTTTCATAAAAATTATTTTTAATAACTGCCAAATATTTTGGCCAGTGGAAGGACTATAGTACATTTAACAAGTC